TTCAGGTGGCTGAACCGCGGTTTTCCATGATACACCGTTCTGTGCAGAGATTTCTGTGCGTTTTACCACGCGGCGGCCGTGTAAAAGCTTCGAGCTAAAAAGGGGTGTATCTTTGAAAATCGCAGGCAAATATCGTGCGGTGGAACTCGGTCGACGTGAAATAAGCGTTAATGGAAATGGATTGAAGCAAGAGGGACCTTTGCTCCTAGGGAAAGTAAAGAAAATTCAACCACTGAACCATTTACGAGCCTTTCTTTTGTGTCTCTTCGATGTATCTTTTTTTTTTCCTTTTTTTTTTTTTACGAGTCATCCATGGCGTTAAAATTAGAAAACAAAAAAATCTCGAACAATTTGCTCGCACGCGATGCACGTTGGAATAATTAATTTGAAGAAAAGGAGGTTAATACGAAGATTAATGCTTATTTTTTTAATTAGACAAAAATTTTGTGTACATGTAAAATTATTTAATTTCATCGTTACTCTATTATAATCTTCGTAGATGTATTAGCATGTTGAATGAATTACATAAAGATATATTAAAATAAATCTTGCAATGAATCTTGTAATAAATTTATTTCATACTAATTTTATTTTAATTTTAAACGACTATCAACGATTTACAACGTCACATTAATTCAAGTTCTTAATTTGTGACAATTAAGAATTAATCAGAAGAATAAAACCAATTGTTCTAACGATATTGTTTCTCGCAAAAATTCATAAAAACAAATTAACAATAGTTTCATGGTTCCAGTCTTCGTTTTTGAAAGAAATTTGAAAATTTATTAATTGCAAATAAAATAAAAATTAAATAATTCTAGTTGAATTGAAATACAAAACGATTAACTCACATGGTAAGTTAAAAATGTAGAACTTTTTCATTTCAAGATTCATTTTCGAGGAAATAGAATTTGAAAATTTACCTATTACCTGAATATTTGATTCTTGAATGAACATTTGAAAAAACTTTATTTTATTTTTCACATATTTCGTGTAAAATAACCTCCTGTTGATTATCGTGTAATATAATCTCCTCCATTATTGACAAGCTTCCAAATTTTTCTTTTTAAAGAAAATCGAGTAGAAAAACTCATTTCATTTTACAATTTTCACTTATTTTATACCGCAAGCCGTCTCTTCTCTTAGCTTTTTAGCATTTTATCAGATGCAATCCTGTAAATTAATTCTTATAATAATATCTAAATAATATGCCCAGATACGCTTTTAATTCAGCATTAAATTAAAAATTTATCTTAAACCTCTGAAAGATTTTCCAATCAAACTGGATCCTAATTATTTTCCGTACTCGCTATCTATTTACACTCCAAACATAGAATTTTATCACTGGGAAAATTAGTGAATCGAAAAATACAGCATGTCGAAAGCATTAGTTAGTGATACAAGGATTAAACCATAGTCGCCGTAAAGGTTTGAATAATCGTTCGGGCATCGTTTTCATTAATTATGTTTCCCCGTGGAAGGGAAAACATAATTAACATCGAGTGTTTCGGAGCGCTTCGAGCCGAGTATCGTTCACGTATATGTAAAGCGGCGTAAAAACTATTAATTAACCTGGTACATGCACGAAAAAGTTACCACACACGTTCTGTTTTTCATCCCTGCCAGCACCTGTTGAAACAAATGTTCAACAAACCCGACAGAACCGCGAGGATAACGTTCGATCACACGCTCGTAGTTTTGTAACTGGAAAAGCGGGCAATTGCAATCGCAATTAACCGTTTTCGAATTCACTGCGAAGCTTGTAGTATTAATTCGGCTCGAGCAATGTTTGTTCGCATATATCCGTGTTGATGTATTGTTTTTTTTTCTTTTTTCTCTTTTTTTGTTTTTTCTTTTTTCTATTTCCATATGTAATTAAGCGAACCTTCTCGATATTCCCTGGAAAATAATGAATTTTCTTTGACTTCGTTACAAATGGATTTATCAAAGCTAGATGCGAACTAGTTGTTTCGTAACGTTTCGTGTTTATATATTTGTTTAAGATACGAATCTTTCAGAGAAAAATTATGTATCCGTATATACGTTTATTTTATTATTTTATCATTATTTTTGTATATTTTGAAAATATTCTCGAACCAAAAGAGCGAACATACGTGCGTTACGTATAGAATTACGCAGGATCGACCATCTTTGTTTATCGATCGAAATTATAGACTTGTAAAAAGAATAATCGTATAATCTAAAGATTATAACGATTTTTAATTGAATAAAATTTAATTCAATATGGGAAAAGATCAAATATCATGTATCAATCGAATAATTTGCAATTTTTCACAAACAACTTTTCAGCTATCCATTTATATAATAATCGAAAATAATCGAAGCAATCACGTCGGGTAATTCACCTTGTCCAGCATCCTTGCAAAGATCGTATCTCGTTCGCAGAAATAATCAATACCCCAGCTTCCAAGAAAGAATTAACTCAGAAAAAGATAACGAAGATGCAGGTTACATCGATGCGTTCGCGGAAATAAGGAAAGGGGTGAGCGCAATGATTAAATGGTACGCGAAGGACGGAACCGTTTTAATAAATAGAGAAGTTTTACAACGAAGTTTCGCAACTTGCGAAACTCGGTGCCACATTATTTTCCGTCTTACAACCCGGAAACCTGAACTTCCCTATTGAAATTCCAATTTTTTTCCCCCTCCCCCTCCCTTCCTCCCCCTCGAAGCGGGCCGCGAAATTTCTTTTCCTTTGTCATTCGACGATAAATTCAGAAGGGGGCTTAGAGCAGCGGTTTAATTAAACTAGTTTAACTGTCATTCCGTTCCTTCAACTTAGCCTCGTTCGCCGCATAGTGTGGCCCGCTTCGAAATCGATAATCGCTGCTCCCTCCCTCCCACCTACATTTTTATTACTTTTACGTACGGATTGTAGGCTTTAATATTAATTTCCCCGTGACAAAGGAGGGCCTACTCCATTACGTACGGTATGGGGAACGGGCAGAAGTATCCAGCTTTATTGGAAATTCTTATTCGACGTTGCGCTCACTTCCTTTCAACGAAGGTAGAGAATTCGAAATGGAGCCATTCACCGTGATATTAACGCTTCGAATTACGGCTCGATATTAAGACACTTTGACGATCGCGTTGAGTGTGTTATTAAGCGGTATAAATATAATTAAGTATTATTAAATGTAGCGAAGTTAATATTCGCTTTGATGGTTATTAAGTATGAATGAATGTAAATCGAAAGAGATATGCCTTTTTTTAATTAAGAATATACGATATTCTATTTATATATAATTATGGATATGTAAATTTAAATTTACTCACTCTAAAGAACCGTACATTCATCGTACATTACACTACTATGTGTATAATTATCCTAGTGTCATGTAAATATTTATAGTTTTTAAAATCTAAATAAATATCTGCATTCGTATGAAGATCGTGGAAGAAAAGTCTTTGACATCTCGAAGTTAAAAATTTGACATTTCTAATCGTGTCATGAAAAAGCTCAAGTTCAAAACTATTTAGAATTATCTTTAGAAATTAAAAAATACGATTTATAAAATACAAATATATACCAGCAATAAGAATATTGCATTTCTGATTCTATATATCGTTCCAATTTTTATAAAAGCAACTTTTTATCTTTGAAATTAAATGATTTGAAGATGATTTCCAAGAATAACCCTTTCACGTCAAAAAAACAATACCTCACTCTGAAAATAATTCTCATTATTCGCACGAAAACGTGCATGAAAACATATTATCGCAAAAAGATCCTCGATCAACAGTCACGATATGTAAAATCTAGGAAACGATTAGTTGCAAGATCTCGGTCCATTCACTGGAAATTTATTTTACGTTCGTCTATTATGAATTTCCTTATAACTACAAGCATAAATCTATCAGATATTTTTAAAAAATATTCTTAGTTTCGATTTTTCTATAAATTTCACAAAAATTTCGCAAGAATTTATACATATTTCTAAGGAACTGCATATTCAGGAAATTTTTATATTGCCTTATAAGTTATCGCAAAGATGTACATTAATTAAGAATATAAATATTTATTTCTCTCTTTCACTGAATATATGCAAATATATTTCTGATACATTGTAAATCGTTTTCAATGTAAGAATGTGAAGATATATGTGATTTTTTTATATATTATATATATTTTATATTTATTATATTATATATTATATATTTTTTTAAATAGGAAAATATACAATTATTTAATTCTTCACGAATTTTCTATTTTCCAAAAAATATAAAATATAAAATCGCATTCCTCTATTTATAGAATATCTAAAATTTGTCTACGCAAATTTATAATATCGTTTATTTACCAGAAAATCCTCAAGAAACCAACCAATCTGAATCTTGATTAAATTGATTAATTTTGATAACCATCAAAAATCAAATATATCAAGGAATAACAAGATCTCTCGATTTTCTATCCGAATTAATTAAAAAGAAAAAAGAAAATTGGAAAAATTTCAAAAAGCAGCAACATTAATTAGCCAAAGGCAATTAAACCTATTCGTGTTATTTTCCCCTAGGATCCCTGTACAACATCGCACCCCATCATCAAAAGTTCCCGAAAAATTTCAGATAGCACAGCCGCCGCTGTAATTATCATCCGTTCGACAAAGCGAAATTTCATCCGCCGTTAAGACCGCACGTAAAACACACGTGTCCTCAAAGGCAAAGGCACCACCGTGTAATAAAATTTCTCCACGCTCTGCCCAAATTAAAGGAACAAAAACAAAGGGTGAAATTCAAACGACACCCACCGAGGAAATTAACTATCCTACCGAGAGGAATTAACCGCCGACCTGTTATCCTCTTTCTCGAGCGCGTACGAAAGGAGAAAAAAATTCGGGAGAGGAAACAGTGGTGGCATGCAACGACAACCCTCCCTCTCCCCCTTCCATTACTCCCTCCCCCTCTCTCCCTTCCATTACTCGTGATTGCGCGTTACAGCATCGCGAGTATAAATAATAAATAAGGGGTGTACGACTCACTTGGCTTATCCAGATCAGATATCTCGAGCTGCGAGTACACCGTTGCAATCCCCAACACGAACACCGTGGTCGTAGTCGCGACACTCCACCGGCACCTCCACCACCACATTTTGTCTCCCTTTCGCGCACTCCTGGCACACACACCCTCGAACCAACACCTCGGCCTGGCCGCCCCCCCGCGCTCTCGCCGCCCTTTCAGCGGTTACCTAGTCTCGCGACCGTCGTGAACCGGCACTAATTGCAGCTGCTGTTGCTGCCGCCGGTGCAGCCGGTGTTCTCCTTCTTGTTGCCGATGTTGCCGCCGCTGCTGCATTGCGCCGCCGTCGTCGACATCCTCTCGACTCGCCTTTCTCGTCCTCCTCGACTCTTCGCTCGACTCTTCGGCCCTCGACAATTCACCACTTTTGCCACCCGATCAGAGATTTCAATCCCTATCGTGATCACCCTATCCACGATTCGCCTCGACGCACTATCGAAATCGAACGCTTTCTCTTCTTCTTCTTCTTCTTCTTCTTCTTCTTCTTTTTCTTCTGGAGACTTTCCCTCTCTGTCCTGTACTCCGATAACTCGACCAACCAATTGATCTCGTAACCCTCGGCCGAGCACTCGTTCCAATTACGATCCAGGGGAGATCACCTTCCAAGGGAGCCTCAATTAATCCACTTGTAAGAGAATAAATGAACGAGAGGTGTTCGAACGTTGACAATTCCTCCCGCGGAAAACTTTTCAACTTTTGGTGTATTTTGCAGGATTTGACTAGGTTTTTGGCGGGTTTTTGTTAAAAATATTGCGTAGAAAAAAATGTGCGGTCGGATTTCAATGGCAGTCGGGATAATTAGGCAGTATTCACTGTGTAAACGTGACGATTGTATCGTAACGATAATTTCTATATCATATTATAGGTACAGATCACCAATGTTGAACCGTTACTTTGTAAAAATTCGACACTTTCCAACATTCTTCAAAATTTAACAAATACACACTATCGAACTCGATTCGCACTAAAATACGAAAAAAAAAAAAAAAGAAAGAAAGGAAAAAAAATAAAATTCATACAGAGATAATCATATAGAAAATTGGCAGTGTAGCGCAGAAACACGTCAGGTATCAAATTAAATTGGTCCTTTCGACAGATTGGCGAACCGTGCGATTCCTCGAAGCCATTCACTTTCAACACTGTTATCTTCGGAGGTGTTTATCGCGATATTCGATATTTTTCGAAGAAGAAGGCTTATCCTCGCGGACGAAGCAACATTATTACGATCACGATGAGAGGGATGACGGCGAAGATTTAAAATTCGAATTGCCGAGAATTGGTGAATTCCGAAAATCGGATCGAACTTAACCGCAAGTAACGTTCTGGACACGGGTCTAGTTTACTGCACCACTAGCTCCGAATGAACTCGTCGGTTTGCCCCTATCTCACGGCTCGTTACTCGCACCGCTGCTCCAGGGGCGCGTACACGGAAGGACATTCGCATCCAGCGGAGGCATCCGGTCGGGTTCTATGCGTAATTAAATCCCCCTGTATATCGATATTAATCAATCAACGAAATCAAATCCGCGGCCGTTATTAATTAACTGCCTCGACGGTTCGAATTGGAGCAAGATTTACGAGTTTCGAGCGCCAATCGTTCTTCAATTGTTTGTCTATTATTAATTTTCATTTCTTCCCTTTTTTTCCCCCCACCCCCCTTTCCTGTATTTTATTTTTGCCCGATCAAGCGAAACAAGTCGAGTTTAATTTCGTTTTTTTTTTTTTTCCGATCCATCGGAGTGCAAACACGTGCTCGTTTTCATCTCTCTGCCGAGATTGTCGCGCACCATACATCGACGTCCTCTGTCCTCCACAAATGAGACACCATGCTATCACATCGTCGAACGTGGTATTCACACTATCTCGAATTGTGCATATTTAAAAAAATATATATGTATGTATATATCCTTTGCAATTCGCGTCAATCCGTTGTTGCCATCGATCTCGTTGGTAATGGATCGATCGAGACGATGGATGAGGGACGTGGGAGCGCGCATGCAGGAACCAAGATCACGTTGTCCTGCCGCGATTTTAATTCATAAATCACAGGGAGCACCGTGATCGTACTCGAACACGAGTGAACGACAAACCCCTCGTTTGATAGAACCACGTCGAGTCCTGACCCGTGGCGGCTCGGTACTGAAACCATTGAGTAGCGTGAAGGACCACCGCAAGCCGGTTCGGCTTCCTTCGCGGCCGCTCGGCCAACTTCGGGCACGCTCGCGCTACCCGTCCTCATCGTGCAAACCGGTCTGTCCTCGTCATTGCCGGCGCTATATCCACCTTTGCTTTTCCCTCTGTACAATCGAGCTTCTTCTCGCCTCTTCCTCTCACTTTCTCAACCACGCACGCCGCGTCGAGATCACTATGATTTAGTGGCAGGGCTAATGAGTCGTCATAATCGCCGCGGTACAAAGCATGCAACTTCTTCGAGAGATCGACGAGGTGGCACGGATTCGCGCCGATTGGACGGATACCTGGATCGTAACTTTCGTCTCCATTCGTTTTTTTTTTTTTTTTTTTTTTAAGTAAAGTTTGCAAAATATAGCAATAGTTTTCGTTCAAATTATTTTCGGGTTTTTATTGGAGGAACGAAAGAGAAAAGAAACTGAGATTCTTAAAAATCGAACCGCATTATATAAGATCCGGAGCGGGCCACTCGGGTTATTTGACTTTAACCGCTTGCGAAATTAGTAGGTTTTATGGGTCGATGACGACCGTAATTCCCTCGTCTCGCGATATCGTGTGAATTGGTTAATATTCATGAATGTTACGGGATTGGATAGCTTTGAATCTTGAACGAGTCAAATTATCCGTTCTATTACACCAAAAATATGTGGTAATAAGGAAACCGAGAATTTTATTTATTTTGATTGATACAATCCCTGGATATCAGATTAATTAAGGACGAAACGAGAATGTTTCACTTGCTATAAAAAGCTTACTATAGTTCTCAAGTAAAATAACAATTCTCTCAAAAATTTTATTCTTGACTTATTTTTTATTCTCTTGTATAAGAAATCATATGTCTGCTAATATAATACTCAGATATATAATTTTCTTGTTTTCATTTATGAAATAATCTGTAAAAAAAACAAGCAATATGAAGTTACATTCCCATATAAAATAATGAGAAAAAATAATGAGAATAAAAATTTTTAAAATAATAAAAATATCGAAGAAATTTTCAAATGATTGATATACTAATTATAAATTATTCATCTAATAATCTCTCATCCAATAATCAATGTTATAACTGATTAGATTTCATTATATTTTAAATGTAATCATTCTGGAAATACATATCGGAATCCAATATGAATAAATAATAAGATTTTCCTAAATAGCTTTCTAATAAAATATCAAAAGTGTTGAAAATATTTTCGAAACTTCTATTTTCCAATTAAAATAAAAATTTTTAAAGCTACTAAAATAGACTAATAATGGTTAAATTAGTACGTCAGGGGATACAATTAAGAAATATTAACGAAATTAAGAATCTTCTCAAAAAAATTCGTTCTTAAATTCACCAGATAGACACTTGACTCGACCTACACTCTATAAAGGCACGCTCTCTTTCTAAAATACTCATTTATCACATAGTATTCCGTAAAAAGATTCAGCTCCACATATATCTTACACGAATTCCTACACGTAGCACCAAACACAACCACATACCTACATCGACATCTAGTTTAGAGACATTCTTAGAATTCTTATCGCTCATGCATCATACCCTGCTCCTAAAAATTCCTTTATTTTTGCAGAATTAAGTAAATTAAGTAATTAACCGATAAATCGTTGAATAAATTGTTTGTATAAAACTTTTAAAATTATAGAAAAATTGGAATAAATTGTTATAAGTCCTAGGCAAACTTTATAATATAATTATCGAAGCAAAGCATACTTGAAAATTTTCAATTTTAAAATAAAATCCACATAAACAAATGCACTTTCAATCTCTGCAATTTCGTGATAAGCGTTATCATTAGACATTCGTCCAAAAAAGAATTACGTTTAATACCCAAAATATATTTCATCAACATTGATAATTGTAAATATTCACTTTACAGATTTAAACACGGTCAAGCCGAAACGAGGTTAATGAGCACCACGGAACATACATATGTTTCGATCGGAAGATTGGAGGGATTGAAAGGGTAGAACGCTTATTTACGTCATAAACATGTTCATGAAAACTGATAGTTCGTGCATAGGTGGTGCACGCGCGAGATAACACCCCTCGAAACTTCATGACTACGAGAACTCTCTGCGATCACGATAAATTCTGGCTTTCGTGTTTCCGTCGCTATCGGGAATCGCCTGCAAATCACTTCCTAATCCTCATCGAGTAGGTATCTGCGAAGGTACCTTTCCTAAATCCTCTTTCTACGTTTGAGAACAGCTTAGGTACGTATATCGTTGTTTTCCTATCATTTATCGTAGGCTTTTGACGGAGCAAGATTTTTCGTTCTTGATTATGAAACAATTTCACTATATTATACTAGAAAACTAAGAGAGAATTAAAGTTTGCACATCATGGAATATCGAACAACTAAATTATGAAAGTTGATACAAGATATTCCATTTTTGTAATGAAAAATATAATGGAATAAATTAACTCAATGATGTACGTATAAATCACGAGAGAAAAAAGATAATTATTTTTAAATTTACTTGTGATATTAGTTTTTCTATAATAGTAAATGTTAATTTTGTAGATGAGTTTGTAGTAGATATTAATTTTAAATTATTATAATTAAATAATAGGAATCAAGCTACGTACAGAAAATTTGCAAGATTGGAATCCGTGCCCGATGATTGGTGACCCCCAAATCGGGGACTTCATATCTATCGTCAGAACATTTTCTTGATTCTTCGATTTCTTTATTGCTCTTTTGTTTAAGATTATTGAAGATTCTCTAGTATTTGATTCATTTTTATATATGTATCCTATTATTAGTAAATATGATATGAAAGAAAAAATCTTTTAAGATGGAACTATCATATGAAGAGCATTAGTTGATGAAACGAAGAATGTTACATAGAAATCTTCTTCTTACTTTTTTTATGTATGTTTGCTGATGATTATTGCGGTCATTAGTGGAAAGACTTAATAGACGGCCTCTGATTCTTTTTCTCTTTTTTAATAATGGAATTTCTTGAGTCATTACGTAAATGTTGTATACGTCATTACTTAAATATTTGAATCATTGTCTAAATCATTATTCTCATCAAAAATAGATTCAAATAAATAAAAATGCGAGGAACAAGTAAATATCAATTTTTTTTAATCATTTATATAATATAATTATGCCTTCATGGTGAAAATTAATGTGGAAGATTTTTAATTTTAATTTAATACATACTCGATGATTCTTTGAAATGATTTTAGTACTTGTCGTTGTTATATAAGAAAAAATTACACTATAGATAACTTTTAATTTATGATCTATAAAATTTTATCAATAATATAATGGTTTAACATACGAGAAGGTATTAATTATATGACTTTATCGATAGGAACCAAGTTTGTAATTTATTATTTTACATCCTGTAATTTTATCTTAACTTTTATTATTGTTCAAACTTTTATGAGTTTGCTCATAACGACTAGATCCCTACAATGGGAGATTCTAAGATCTCAACGACCCTATCGAATGCATCATTAATTTCGAAGGAAAATCGAACGATTTCGAAATCTCATAAAATACAGTGAAAGCTAATCGCGCGACTAGCACGGTGTCGGATTTAATGTATTTTTTTAAAAAGCTTCGAAGCC